TAAAATTAGAAAACTGACAGCTCTATGTTGTACCTAGTGCCACTTACGGAAGAAAAGTTGTGTATTTTATTTCCATAGTTCCAGCAAATAGATATCTACACAAGAATTATAGAAATATGTATACAAAATTATTTACAATGTGTTCTAATTCCAAATTTTGGGGCTTTTTTCCTCCCTTGCCAGGTTTTACTCCCTCAAATGCATTTCTGTGGTGATTTCATAGAATTTTTCTAAGTGCACTTTTCAAGATACATTTTTAATTTGGGAAAATGCCCATTTCAGTATTTTCTCAGCTGTGCATGTGACTTTTTTGGCAAATAATGTGGTAAGTATTCAGAATAGACATATTTTTAAAAACCCTGAAGTCCATAAGCAACCATAACTTACATATACAGTGTCTTTATGTTCATGGTGACACTAGGGATGAGAATCCATCCCTAATTACTATACTATTCCTACAGATATCTGCCACATTAATTTCTTCATATTGTTTTGGAACATGCTTTTATAACACAAATTTCATTATATTATTTTGTGGTTATGAGACAATAAATTCCTACAGAAAACAAGTCTTGTGCTGTTTACTTAAAGGATAAGTGAATCTCATTAATTTGTTGGTCACCATTGTAAATAACATTTCACAAAATTTTTCTTAATGGATAGTAAATTTTCAAAATTTTCCAAAAAATAATTGAAATATTAGCAGAAGAGAACTTGTGTCAAAATTTTTTCTTTCTTGAGAAATGTCAATCTGTGAGTTAGCAATCTTATTCTGTTAGACAACAGAATTAAATATTTGAGTTCAAGTATATAACCTTAATAAACATAATACACAAAGATTTTTAAAGTTTTTAGTTCACAAATTCCAAACAAGAATAGAAAAAATCATTTATGGAAAGAACGGGAATGTGACAACACACTTTATTCCTGTTAATTAGTCCTCTGAACACAACCAGTAACATTTTAATAATTATTTAATATCCTGAATCACATTCTTACACCTTATCTTAATTATATTGTTCAATTCTTCTTTGAAGAATGACATACTGCTCTTTTTTTGTGAATCCAGTTAAGGGAAGGAGTGAGGGTTGCAAGAGTTGGAATAGGTTGTCATAGAAGGCATTCAAGGGGCAAATAATATTTAAAAAGAACCATCACAGGACATTTACTAGAGGCCTGAATCTGATCCCACAAGGCTTACTTGGCCTGTCAAGGTGGCCAGTACAAATTTCTTGAGTGCCCTTTTAAAATCTTTGGAGTTTTCCTAAAGAAAAATGATTTAGCAAACTCTTCATTTACAATGCTTTGTGGGATCTTCTCTGTTTATTGATCTCAACCAAATCTACTGTTCAGGTGATGCATGCACAACTTGGACAGAGGTAATAAACGACCGAGAAACTGCTAAAACATTTGCAGTTTTTACACATGAATGTGATAACCTCTTGTTATGCCATATGGAGGCCCTGAATAACAGCCAGGGGCCTTAAATTACATTGAAACTGATTCCTACACCACAGCTCTCAGCCGTAAATGATGCCAAAAGACCACAGGCTTAAAATTAAAATGGAAAGAAATATATAAAAGCAAATGAGCTCCAGTGAGTCATTATTAATCTGAGGTTATAGTGCCCATCACTACTGAAGCCCTATGCCAGTTACTCCAAGTTATCTGTTATGTTGCCTTTTTTAAATGAATGTAGACATCAGGTTGTATACCGAATTCTCCTTTTTAATCCACACCCATTGCATAATGATATTAAATTACAGTTCATAAATAGTTAAATTATATTCTCTAAAATTTCTTGAATCTTGTAGTTTATCTTAAATGCTGCATGTACTTTCTTCAATACAAGCTGACCCAAGAGACACCAAATGACTGAAGCCAGGAAATTCTAAATGAGGGCTCAAGCTGACATTTTGTTCCTAATTTATATGTCTCTAACTTATAACTACTCAGAGTGTATGTCCTAATAGTGCTTCTTTCTTTATTTGTATAAATAATGTTATTGCAGCAGTCAGAACCTCCACTTAAAGCAGGAAACATAAACTACCTTGAAACTTGGCCTATGGTAGAAAAATATAGGTGTAGTCTCTTCTTGTGCTCCCTTTTTTCTGACTACTTTTGGATCAATGAAAAAGTCAAGAAAAGATGCTACTTTTGTACTTTTGCACAAAAAGTATTACTTTTTGTGTAGTTAAATAAATTCAGCCACCTTGCAATGGTATTATTTTAACAATATCTCAATATCTAAAATAATGAAGCTAAAATAAACAAAATAATGAAATAAAAAAACAGCAGTTATAAAGGAAGAGAAAGAAACCCTGCAATTGGTATATAGCTTTGTACCTGAGAAAAAAGAATTCTTATCATCCATCATGCTGAAAATTAAACTGTTAAGCATCACTGTCATTTTACAGTCAATTGTATTTTCTGTGTATATTTTCTGAGTACATTTTTATGTCTGGCTCAGAGACACACCAACATAAAATCAGAGATTGACTCTGGAGAAATACGATGTTGAAACTAGGGTTGCTCAAAATCCTCATGATTCATCAGAAGACAGATTCATTGACAACAAGTCATGAATAGTGATTATCCACTATTTAATAACAGTAAATAATAAAGATAGACCAAACTGACTATGTTTCATTACAGTTACATTTCACTCTATAACCAAGTGCTTGCACAACTTTGGGCAAGTCACAGTCTTAGGGGTTGATTTTGTCCATGTGTTAAATAGTAAAGTCTTAGCTATGACTAGACTGGTAGAAGACTTAACAGTCTGCAGACAGATATAAAACAAACCCTTAAGTTATAGTTCAAAAGCCTTTAACCATATCTGTTTTCAGTAACAAAATTGTGCTACAACTTTGATACAAACTCGTGGCATCTTACCACACATGGTTGATCCCAGGAGCTTCCCTAAGAGATTTTTTGTGTAATTGGTGTTTTCAGAAGAAAATGAGACACCATCTGCATTGATGAGTCCTGAGCAGACCTGCTGACCTGCAAAGAGGGGCTTACAAAGTGTGGGGCATTTCTTGCTGCTCCATGTGGCTTGAATAGGAGCTAGCTGAAATCTGGAAGAAGCATGGCTGTATTTCTGCGGGGCTGAGCATGCAAGGAAGTTCCTTCAAGAACATGGTAGCAATCACTGTGCCTTCCTAGGTCCAGCTGCTGCCAGTGCAGGATCTCTGCACCACAGTGTGAGCACCAATGGTGCACCAACAAACCGTGGTTAAAAGTCGAGAGGGGTCTTTAAGTAGTCTGAGAAATGAGAGTTAGCACCTTACAGCCATTTTCAAAGTCTGAGAGTTAGCACCTTACAGCCATTTTCAAAGTCTGAACTGCTTTTAAAGCATAGGAAATGTTAAATTTTTTTTAGTTGTCTCTTTGTTCTGAAATATAGTTACATTATTTGGTCTTTTGTTTCAAGTTTATTCACTTACCTAAAGAAAAAAAAACAAACACCTCCTAGCGCTGTAAATCAACTTGCACCTTTCTCTCTCTTCAACCTGTGCTCTAAATCTCAGCAGATTCAGTTAAAACTAGGAAAATGGAAAAATACTATCTTTCTCAATAGGAAAAGCTGGCTGCTCCCCTACAGCAAGTAACCCAGTCCAATCCCTGTGCCACTAACAGAGTAACACACCTCACAAAATGCCTTGGGCTAGGAACACATTGGTGCATTTCACATAATGTAAATAAAGCACTTCCATTTGTTTTGTAAAGTGTCAGCTCAAACTTGGTTGATCTGTTTTCAGATGCAGTTGTAATTTTTTCATGAATGGCAGCAAGAAACAATTCTGCAAACCATGAAATGTGTTTTTGGCCAACAGTACTTGGAAGACATCTTCTCTCCCCTTTACTAGCAAAACAAGTCACTTTATATTTGACTAAATCTCTGTGGTTAAGAAGTGTTATTTGAAAATTAATGATAATTATTTTCAACTTTCCATTGTAATTTTTCATTTTGAAATGTAGTTATATTTCATTTAAGGGGAAGGAAAAAATAGCCAAGAGTAAAAGCTTTAGTATGAATCACTGTAAGTTTTTTCTGTTCTCATAATTCCTACAAAACCCAAAAACCTTTCCCACCCAGACATAAAATCAAAAATATAAGTACTCACAATAGTTAGCTTACTTCTCTTATCTAATTCCTGTTCTCAGTAATTTTGTATGACAAGGACATTTAAAAAAGAGCTGAGAAAAAAATGCAAAGCCCCTTAAGCTGCAATCAATAAAATGCTCTGAAGTCTTTTAAGAAATTAATTACCCATTGCTTGGATATTTTAAACTAAAATGGTCAAGGCAAGAATTAATGTGCAAGAAAGATCAAACTTGCAGTAGAAAGGATTTGGAAAATAGACACAGATTTCTTGATTGCATTTAATTTTCATGATGCCCTACTGCTCCACATAGCAGAGTTTCAGTGAATGCTCACAAGTACCTGCTAGGATGTGCATATTTCTTGCTCCCTCTTTTTTTCACCCACTTCCTTCTATCGCACTACCCAGTCCAATTCATCTCTGAATTTTTGAGGAGATGCTTTGAGTTTTTATATTAAACAACTTTATTGAACAAAGGCATGATTAGTATAAGTATGCATCCCTTCCTTAAATTTATTCCCTTTCATCCATTTCAACAAGTTCTACAAAATAACCCTTTACATTTGCTTTAAATATGGAAAAATTATGGAACAAAGTCTTGTTGGTTTTGGCTGAAGACATCATTAGCTGCTACTTAAATTTTTCCTGCTAAAGGAAAGAGTTTCCCAAATGGATCAAGGTAGAAGGTTTGTCCAAGATTAAAAGCCTAAGTTTGAAAACAGCTTTGTGTTGTCCCCAGACGAAGTTCCAAAAGACACAAAAAGAGACAGAGCTGCTTAGGCAAAAATCACTTTTAGAGTCCTATGAAATCACTGTAGAGAGACCAGAGTTATTTAAAAAGGATTATTTATTAAACATATTTCTTTACAAAGTACAATCAATGGTTTGCATTAAATTTTGGGGTTTGGTATTTGCCTGTATGTACACAAAAGCTTATAACAGAAATTATGTCTTGATTTTACACATGGGACACAATACAGAGTTACCTTCATATTTTGATTTCTGCCAACATAAGCAGTTGATAATAGCTTTCAGTTTAGCTGCTGTTTTTTCAAACTGAACATGAAGCAACAACATTTCTGCAGAGTTTCAGCATTTATCAATGTACTCAATTATGACAAAGTAGAAATGATTAATCCTTTGGAAAGTTTCCACTGAGCATGAGTGGAACATGACATTTTTGGCAGGTTACTGGACTATCCTTATGATTGTTAAAATCACTTTTTGCAGTTATAAGATAGGAAGAATTGAGGAGCTAGGTAAATTTAATAATACCCTATTAGCAGCAGTTGATAGTAAATGCAACATAAGGTTTGTTTTGTCTGTCATACAAGGATGTGTCCTAGCAGACACTATTGTATTGTTCTCTACTTGAACAAAAGTATCTGCATTTATTGTATGTCTTTGGTAAAACAAAACAAAGATATAGAGACAAAAAGCCATTTATTGTCATGAGTGACTATTGCCATCAGCTAATATGAATGCATTGCTAAAAATTAGTGAAGACAGGAAAATGCTGTAAGGTAAATATATACAGAGTTAAAATACAATTCTTATCCACTAGATAGTGATTTTGTGGCACTGTGGTTTTCAGAATATAACATCTTTGAGAGCAATGTAATTTTCAGTGCAAGCTTAAGCAAAAATACCTGCCCGCTGTCATAAAAACGACAAACAAATCTGGAATGTTCAAAGTAAGTTTGTCTTCCACTTCTCCACTCTTGAGGCACCTTTAAGACACGGCACTTACTGTAAACCATCTAAGAATCGAGAAAAGCAGACACAATAAGCCTGAATTTTCCATAACAACTTTAAAGATCACTGCCAGAGTCACTTGCATAAGTAAACGATGCCTGTGTAAGGCTTGCCAGCAAAGCATCTTTCCTGAGAACGGAGCTGGGGCACTCTGTGTGCATCATAAGTGTGCGTGCTCGGAGCTGTGGTCGCTGTCGTGGCTGTCGTCGTTGGCTAGAGAGTCCCCCGTGTGCTGCAGCCCGGCGGCGCCGATGCCGGAGAGCTCGGAGGGGAGCAGCGTGCCCTTTTTCACATTCACCAGTTCCTTCTCCCGGGCTGCTGCCCCTTGCTGGCCCCCTTTTACACGCTTCCACTTCATCCGTCTGTTCTGGAACCAAACTTTTACCTTCACAGAAGAAAGAGAAAACAAGAAAATAAGGATAGGGTCACTGAAGGTAAAAGTCAACTTTCTACCTGTAGCCCAGCACTTGGGGATTGTATTTTCCTAATGTGCCTTTCTGTCTGGATGGTAAAGAGCTTAGCAAGATTTCCCTGAAGACCAGGCAATTCAGTTTTGGGTAGGATGTGAACACTGGGGATAGTGTCAGCAAGGGAGGAAAAGGGGCTAGTCTTAAGAAGACAGGCTATCTGCTACAGACAGTTCTGTAGGAACATCTCCAGGCCCTTTAGAAAACATTAAAAAGATCACATACTCTTGAAAAATATATTAATGCCATTTGTCAGAGAGAGAGACAAAGTCAAAATGTTTCCCATCAAGGAACTGTGCAAAAGAACATACAATTTGAGTAACAGAGAACCCTTCTTCAGAGGGTAGTTACTCTGCAAAACAACTTGCCTGAAATTTGGCATTGCTTTCTTCTTTGTTTCTGTAAGCTGGTGATGAGTTTCAGGTGCACCACTTTAAAGGTGCCTTTTTTTTAAACTTGCTGAAGTATCTGAAAGACCATTTCTTACTATAAGAGCTTAAGACTTCCCTATTTCACAAATGCATTCAAATTATTCTAGTCAACTGATCCTTTATTCTGCTGCATTTAACCATAGACCCTGATCAAATTTTTTAGACAAATAAATACTCACAGAGTCAGAAGGCAAGGCATTTATAAATTGAGTCAAAATTAGCAAATAATTTCAGATAAGAATGAAAAAGAAATTCATAACATGGAAGACTAAAAATGTATCTGTGTTTAAGTCATATTAAACCCCAAGATTTTATGCCAGCTGAAACTCATTTCCGCTCCTCCCCATCTCTGTATGGAAATATATGAGGGAAAAGTAAACCTAAATTATTTGCACTGCAAACCACAATATTTTTCAATAGCCAAAAGAAAAGTAAAGAAAAAAAAAGATGTGCATAGCAGCTGTCAAATATATTAGACCAGATTAAAGGCTGATTTCAGATCAGCTTCAAGTACTGTCACTGAGAACAGTATGAATAGAATATTGTTCAGTTTGATTCATTTCGAGTTAATGTAGCTGAAAAATCTCGTGTGTGTGTGTGCAGCTCTTCAGATGAAGGTTCCACAGAAAAATAAACAATGCCTGCAACATTTAACTTGGAAAAAAAGCAAGAAAGCTTGCAATGCTAGTATATCCTCTGCTGTGTTTAGCAGAATGTGTTTCAGAGTTTTAAAAGAATCAGCAAGCAACAGGCACAGCAGGACATATTGTTCAACATGAGTAATAGAGCCACAAAAATGCTGTTTTGCTGAATCTGTCTTACACATCCAGGAAACCTCACAGTTTTTAACCTTTACTATTGCTTTGAATTTTGCATTAAAATTTTACTACAGTTGAACTGATAGATAGCGTTGCACTCTTTGTGTATGTATATAGGAAGGAAGAGAGCTTATTTATTTTTTTAATACTCTATATTCCAGTTAAAGTCAAAGTGAGCTGTTAAAGCAAATCACTTGGGAACAGGGAAAAATTATTCCAGGTTAGTTAAGAGCCTTAAAGCAGAGCACATCTTTTCCTCTAGTCAGCTCATCAGAGCCAAAGAAATCTAGCTTGCCAAGTGAAAAAGTGTAAAAGGGAAGGTATTTATTCGTGGCTGCTGTGATGTTGGATATTACCATACTCAGAACTGGTATCAGAAGCGATCCTGGAAACAACATCCTCAAAAGGGTATAGCATTGGCAGCTTTCTGGGAGAAGTGATAATATTTAGTTTCATTTTTGGGGGGTTTTTTAATAGTGAAGTTGCCCTTGCAAAAGGCACTGCTCTACTTGCGCCCTTGTGCCAGGTAGTGCAGTAGATACGACTGCAATCATTATCTGAGCATCAAAAATAATACACTTTGGATTGGACCCATTATTACAGGATATTACCGCACTTCTTATGAAATAAGAGCCAAGCCATTATTCTTTGGTAAGAAAAAATTACAGGATTGGAGTAATTATTAAAAGGTCCAAGCAGTTCTCTGGATGTTTTTATGTCCTTGAACATTCACAGAATAATTCACATCACTTAAAGCCTAGAAGAGAGTAATAATAATTTATAGAAAACATGGTTTCAAAAAAAATGACAATAATGCATTTGAAGTAAAGGTTTCAGTGCACAGCCTGGTTGCAACCTACTTTAACTTACTGGAATAAGAGACATCCAGGCCTTCTGGATGCGGTCAGTTCAGTTGTGAATACTTGAGAAACTGAAGCTAATATTCCTGTGACCAGTCAGACACTGTCGTGGATGGGACAGGAGTGAACAGGATGATTAATGCCTGGCTTCTGTTCCAGGTGCTCATTTCTGTTCTCTCACAGAAAAAACTAATTCTCACATCTGCTAAACTGACATTTTTTGACTGTTTTCTACTGTAATTTAATAACTTGTTCTGGTTTTCATTTTTTATGACAATACGTTTTGGTTCTGCTTGTTATAATTCAGGCCATTTTGACAACAGCAGAGTTGAGATGAGTCTGTGTCCTTGAGCATTAAAACCAAAAGATTGACCCCAGGTCCAGGTAATGAGTAACTGAATCCAGGCTGGGGAGTACTTCTTTATTCAGATCACCAGCCTTCAGATCAGCTCATGAAATTATGCCTTTAAAGTGCCTCCACCAGGGATTAGTAGAGGTCAGCACCTGCATATTAGTTGATATAAATCAGTTAAGGGATGATGACTTCCCTTTTCAAGGATGAGCACAAGTTACATTTGCATATTCCTCCAAGGATCCAGCATGTAATGCTATGTCTGCAGGTGACCCATTGTACGTGAAACATGGCATTTTGGGAAAGTTGGGCTGAAATGACTCCAGCTCCCTTTTTGCATGAACTCACTTGAGTGTAGAAGGAAGAAAGTAACCCTGACAATCTCTTAGGAGCAAATATACTACTGAATATTACGAACATATAGCCTTCCCATAAAGAGAAAATGGTAACAATGTTAAAAAGGGGAGGGAAAGGCTTTTTTGTTCATTACTTTTAATAAACTGCATCTGATTTACTTATAGAATATAAAATGAGCAATTGCTTTTTTGGTATGTCAAAGATTATTCTCAAAAGCTAGAAATCATTTGTAGTCTATTCTCAAAAGCTAGAAATCATTTATAGTCAAGTTTATCATTGGAAATTTTGTGAGTTTATTTTGATGCCATTTACTGTGGCACACACAAAATATTTTTTAATATATATTTCTTTATGTCCTCCATTATGAAGTATTGAAGTGCACTTTTGATCTGATCCAAAGTACACTAATGTCAATGTGAGGTTTTTTTCATACATATCAATAGACTCTAAATGAAGACCTTAATGCTCATTTGCTAATAATATGAGTCAGGTACTTCACTTGTTATTTCCTCTAGAGATCAAATTTAGATATTGGAATTCTGAACTTCCTTTGGAGCTGAAGGTCAGTTATAGAGGGTATAATTGTTACTGATATGTGATCCATCGATATTTTAGTAATGGAAAGGAAGTGAAGCAAACTTTGTGTGAAGTAATTCAGAGCATCAGTTTATCTTGGTTCATGGAAAAGAATGCTTTTTAAACACACAATTCATTTAAATCTTCATGCATATAACATGAGTCAAAACAAAAAACCCTGAAAAACATAAAGGAGAGAGGACTAAGAAAGAAGATTGAAAGTAAAAGAAGTAGAATAGAATAGAATAAAATAGAATAGAATAGAATAGAATAGATCAAGAGTGACAGAGTGACTGAATGACTGAAAGAAAAATAAAGAAAAATTGAAATAAAAATAGAGAGAAAAATCCTTGCTGAAATGAACTTAAAAATTTTTGAAATTTCCCCCAGTGAAAGGACTAGTAGTGACATTCAAAACTTTTGCAAAAAATTATATCCTTTAAGAAAGCTTAAAGATCTACTGTGACAAACTTAATAAGATTTACAGAGCTTTTAATGCTATTTTTCAAGCCTAAGTTAGCTCCCGCAGGGTCTGAGTATGCTCACCACCTCTCAGAATCAAGTCCTGATTGCCTACTGTTTATGGAAATGCACTCCCTCGTCTCCACCCTTTGACTAGCACAACTTGACTGTATGGAGCAAGCATGTGTATGCGCAGCAAACAAAGGAAGTGGCGGGAAATGAGCTGCATTAAAGATGATGGTAGCATTAACAGCTGTTTCTAAATCAGCGCTTATGAGGCAGTCTATTGAGCACATCTGCTTACTGGCACGAAAGCCCTGTTTCTTTTCCCTTAGTCGACAAGTTGTTTAGCATCTGCATCTCCACATCTGATGATTAGACTGTTACTTTAGATACGAGTAAATTATTTCTCATCACATATCTCCTGATCTACAAGATAAATGTTTTGCTGTGACCAATTTATTTTAAGGTCTGCTCTGTAGGAATCATAGGAGGGGAGTTAAAACAATGAGGTTGACATTGTTAGTGTCTACATTGCCAAAATAATTATTACATACTTATGAAATATAGGTCCTTAGTAGTCTGAAGGACCACATGATGGGCTGTGTTGGATGTGTATCTTTAATATAACTTCCTTATGTGGACATCAACAACTCCTTTTGATTCAAAATGTAAATATTTCCTAAATGTCTGATTTAGTGCTCCTTCTTCAGCAGAGCCTTTCAGTCATGTTAACTTTAAGAATAATTGAATGAAAAAGTAATGACTGAATTCAAACTATCTTAGTTTTACTATCAGCTCCCTTTCTTCTTTTAAGAAAAAATACTTTCTCTTTATAAAAGCTATTTTCTGGAAATGAAAAATTCTTTCCTAAAATCTGGTTTTCTATTCCAGGTTTTAGTGGCATGAGTCCTAAACAAGATAAAAATTTGAGGCCTGATATCTAGAGAGCCTTAAAAATTAGAAAAAAGAGTGCTGTGCCAGTTGTAGCTATTCTTTTGTTTTAGGGGATCCATATTTCTAAGCAAGAGTCTTTGCAGTCAGTATCCTAAATTCCATGTT